AGAGAGAGAGAGAGAGAGAGAAAGAGTGAATCATAAACTTGATTACCTGCCTTTTCTTAAAATCATGTTTTTTATACCCCTGTAGTTTGTTAAAGTCGCCCACCCTACTTTTTATGTTACGGCTATTTTGCGTAACCATTTTACATTTTATTCTTATAAACATTTATAATTAATGTATTGTAATTTACATGAAGGCAGCAAAGAAATTATCACTAAGAAAAGTGCATATAATTGGCCATTCATTGGGCGCACATGTTGCGGGTTTTACGGGTCAACTTTTTAATGGACAGATTGATCGCATAACAGGACTTGACCCAGCTGGTATGTCATTAAAATAATATTAATTAATTTGTGTTTTAGTATAATCATGCACACAATGGGCAAAATCATTCTTTTTAAAATAAACACTTCATTCTCATTAGGTCCTGGATTTAATGATGTTCCCGATAACGACAGACTAAATTCAACAAATGTTGGTAACATTACATAAGCTAGATGATAATTATAACAAACTTTGAATTTAACCAGGCTGACTTTGTGGACATCATACATACGGATAGCATAACAGTGAAAAAAGATAAAACTGGCATTAGCTATGGCATAATAAAAAACGTTGGGCATCTCGATTTTTGGCCGAACGACGGTTATGGCCAACCTGGCTGTTTGACCCATGTATGCAGTCACTGACTGGCCGTTGAATATTACATGGCGAGGATTAACCGTGATAACATTAAAAACTTTAAGGCTAGGGCCCGTGCGTGTGATAGCTATTCGAAATACGAGCAAGGTGATTATAATGTTAAATGTATTGCTAAGGAGGCTAACTGTGCTATTATGGGTGAAGATGCGCAACTGTCCAAACAATATAAAGACAAAACTTTAGATAAAAAATACTATTTGACTACTACCGAATCTCATCCTTATTTTGAGAAATCAATTTTAAATTAATTTTTTGATTATAATTATTATTAAATACATTGTTATTTAAATTAATAATAAAAATTATTGAGATTATAGCATTTTGATTTTAAAATAAATTTACAAAAAATTAATTGTATAACGTAAAGATGCGGCCCAAGTAACCTTGCGGGTCGCGAATTGGCCATATTTTTAATCTAGTATAGATAATTGGATTCTGTAACAAGAATATAATAGAGAATTATCAGGGAAATTATTTGTATATTTCATAAATATATTTTGGACTATAAAAAAATAGATGGTTTTAATTAAAATTTGTTTTTATTAAACATTTAAAATAATTGAGAAAGTACAAGCATTTGTTTTAAATAACAGTCGTGTTAAAAATATAAATTATTAATAAATTCAATTTTGAATGAAAAACATTTTAAGAACAATGAACTGCTTTATATTTTACATACTTGATAGCAATATAGAACTCTTTTTGTACATGTACCTTTGTCATTAATATTGGCTCTGACTTAAGCCATTCATTTCTTGTATCATTGCAGTCAAATGTTATGCCCCCGACATATAAACTATGCTTTCCGCGTGAGGTAAGAAATGGCCTAAATATACCTTCATCAATTACCGACCATGTTTGATAATCCGAAAATCTATTATCAAACTTTATAAGTAGTTTAATATTTGCATTGGTATTACTAAGCGAGTTGTTGGCAAAGTTTTTGTTTTTTATAAATAAGTTTTCATTTAAAACTAACAGCATTTCCGGTGTATTTGTCGTGAATGTCAATACGTCTGCTTCAAGTCGATGAATGTTAGTTAAGGATATATCAAGGTAGTTTAGCGATTTTAATGAATAAAAAGCCCTTTCTCCGATTGTTTTAATAGTACCACCTTGTAATTCAAGTGATTTTAGATGATCTAGACCAGTAAACGCGTTAGATGGTATAATTTGTAGATTAATATTAGTTAAATACAACTCTACTAATGATTTAAACTCCTTAATTATAGCGAAAATATCCGTGCCGTCGGTAGAGTTGCCAGATTTGTGTTGTAATCGTGGGGAGTCTTGTAATGAAAATTTAAGAAAGTCCTGACCTGCAAACGCGTTTCTGTCAATAATTGTTAGCCGCGTATTGAGACGTATTGTAATATTTCTAAATTTCAAATCGCTAAACATGTACGCTGGTAATTCTTCAATGTTTGTTTGCCATATAGTGATTTCAGCCATGTTTTTTTTATCATTTGGTACACTTTTGGTAAACTTGTTAAACAAGCCACATCCAAAGTTAGTGATTTTATCGCCACCACAGCTCCAGTGAGCTTTATCATAAGTGAGGTAGCATGAACATGGCTGAATTTGTTCATTATATGAACAAGCGCAATTTGTGTACCCAATTATAAAACAAATTACAAATGGTATAATAATAACCATATTGTGAATTATGCTTGTACTGTTGAAATGTGATATATAATACATAAAATTCATTGTAATATTTAATAAAAATATAATGTTTTATTACTTACATTATGCTGTATTAGCGGTTGAATTAAGATTTTACAAAATGATTATAGTTTTTTTATAATAGTTTGTAATTGTTAAACAGACTGGAATATTGTAAATATGTTATTTTATGCTAAAAATGTCGGAAATGTATATTTTATATACATGTACATAATGTACATGATGTGCAATTATAAATTGCAGCAATTTAATGCGACTAAATAAAAAATATTTTGAAACAACTTTTTAATTTGGCCATTATGTTGAACTGTTATAATATAAGTTAGACAATAGTTTTTTCATTATGCAAGTATGTTTAAATATGGAAACAATAGATTTTGGTTTAGATTTATTTATTTTAAAAGCAATAATTATTTTTAAAATAATTAAATCAACAAATTTATAATACACAACAATTTATACGTGATTTTGTGTTTACGATACAATATTTGACCAATAAGTGATTTTTTCATTACATGAATAATACAATAAATTATCTACCTGTATTTATGCAAAGGATAAAGTTTAATGTTAATGGGTGTTGGGCCAAAAAAATTATATTAAAAAACTTTATTTTTTTTAAATTTGCAAAATTAATTATCATTGTAAGTATAATTAAAATTGATATAACTGATGTTTAGTAATAACGTTATTCACTATAAAAAATCGTTCATAACTGATACTAAATTTCTTAATTTTAATATAACTTTTATCTCTTAAAAAGTACAATTATTATATTTCAATGTAATTAACCACGAAAATAGGGGTAAGATATGGTGGTGGTCAGGTAATATTTATGGCCAATAGTGCTATTTGCATAAGGTTTAGATAGTATAGCCTGTTCGCCCATTATAGCATGTGCCACGTTATTATCCATGGCATCAACATTACACCAATTGGCCAGATATGAGACAAAGTTTGAGCACTGAGTGGCCACACCTTTCGGGTTGTTTGTGTTAATACTGGCCACGTAATAGTCATACGCCCGGAGGTGATTACAGGCCACAGCAGCGGATAGACCTAGATTAATTGTCAGTTTATTTAATTGATAATTTTTATAAATATTAATTATAATATTACCGTTATCAACCACCTCGGTGATCCGGTTAATATAGCAGCCAGGTTGATGTAGATTGCCTCCATTCGGGTAAAAGTCAACATGTCCTGAGTTTTCAGCAATGCCCAGACCTATCAATGGGACGGCATCGGTATGTATGGCGTCCACAAATTGAGCCTGGTGTTAATTTTAATTAGCAAATTATTTACGGTAATGTAGGTTAGTTTTAGAAAATGTTTATATTTATATACAGTATGTAAATTAAACTTACGTCTGATGGGCTAAGTTTTTCTGTTGAGGGTTTGCCATTAAAACCAGGTCCTATATATAAGAGAATGTACATTATTGTTTTTATATGGTTAAATTACAGAACTGTTAGTGCAAACCAGCTGGATCAAGACCAGTTATGCGACCAATCCGTCCATTAAAAGCTTTGCCCGTTAAACCCGCAATATGTGCGCCCAATGAATGGCCAACAATATGTACCTTGTTCAAATCTAATCTAGATTTACTCTGATGTAAAAATACAATAGATGAATGTATGTTATTCAACTAATATTATGTTGTATCAATTAATATAATTATATTACCTGTAACTCGGTAATTAATTTTGTAATAGCCTGCGCAACAGTAGGTATATTAGCTTTTGTCTAGATAATATAATTTTTAAAGATTAGTTTTGTAATATTAAACACAAAAATAATCCTAATATAATAATTATAAATGTCCTTATTTATTTTAAAGAAAATACCTGATCATACGATAATAGACGGTTGCCTTGACTCCAGTCCACAATAAACACATTATAGTCGCCGGCATTTAACCACTCATTCTTAATGGATTCCAATGACAGGCCTAAACCCTGTGGCGCATCCCAGCCGTGCATAACGAACTTGGTGACCAGGGAGTTATTGAAATTGGTCAGGTTACCTTTGCCATCGGGATGAATGATTGATTGCTCAAGCACTGGATTACGCCGGGTGTATAGATTGAACTTGGTGTTAAATTGTTGTGCACTAGGTGACCAGAATAAAAAGGCCTCGGTGCCCAATATACCAATTAGTGTTACTATAGACAACTTTAATAACATGGTTGTTTTGGTATTATAATTCTGTTTTTGAATATAATGTAACATTATTAATGTTTTTTAAAATAAATTTTTATCAAATGTTTATAAACATTTATACTAATTTTTTTATACTAATATAGTTGCGTCATAAATACAGATTAATTTTATTACAATAATTTATTTGACATTGTTCTTCCGTTTAGGCTTGAACATTTATTAATTACATTTTCTTTGTAAAAAGGTTAACATTCATTATAATTTATAATATTAATCGATTATTAAATTATTGATTTGTTATTTTATAATTACCTTAATTTTTTCCTGGAAATCTTATGGTTAAATAGAGTTATGTAATAATATTTTATATTTGTAAATCCGGTACACATGCTCTTTTAAAACAATGAAAATATTAAAAGTAAGTAATTACTGATTAATTTATTATAATTTGTTAAATTAAAAATATTTCTATGGCTTGCAATTAATTTAGGATTATATGATATAATTTATATCTGATTACATGCGATCCGCATAATAAACATAACCTATTGGCCAAAAAATGCTATTGAAATCATTGGAAAGCCATGAAGTAATTGGTAGCCATCACTGTCCAGTGGGTGACAATACACTGTAGTTAGTAATTTGTTTATTTTAGTAATTATTTAATTGTTATATATCCTTTTATTATTTTAGATACCAATTGGTGTTTTAACTTTGCAACCATAAGACTGGCCACACGTTTACAAATATGTTATATTTTTAATCACAATTCAGTATGAATAATGTGGTTTATAGGATCGTTAGGCCCCCTCCCCCTCTCCCCGCTCTATGGGAAATAACATGGGATTACAGCTTAAATCTATGACATAGACTTAACATGGGAAAGCTCTCATAGGATTAACATGGGGAGACTTTAACATGGGTTTCTATGGAATTACAGTTTAAGTCTATAGCATAGGGATAACATGGGTAATGCTAAGTCTATAGCAATGCTAATCCTTTGGACAATGCTAAGTCTATGGCATAGGAATAAGTCTATGGGATAATGCTTTTTCTATGGAGATATAGAAAATGAATATGACAAAATAAATCGAACTAATTGTTGTCAAGAACAAGTAAAATTCTTAAAACAACAATAGTGAAAATATTCTAACAATAGTATAGAAAAATTTAAAATCTTTGATACATTTCCCGAATTGTGGTTAACGCATAGCATCGCGTGTGATCCTTGTTTATAATGTGTGGCAGCCAATGAAAAGCTAATTAGTAAACGTGTGGCAAGTTTTTGTTTGAAAAGTAAAAACACAAATTGCTAATCATTTAGAAACCTTTTATCAGGTTATATTTAATATGATTAAGTTAATTAAATGATTAGTATTAGTTGCGAATAATTGTAAATAATTGCAAACATTTAAAATGCTCGAAATATTTTTATTTATCTAAATCCTTAGAATATAATTAAATCTTTATAGAAAGAATTAAATGAACAGATTTTATCATATAATTAACCACGAAAATACGGGTACGACAGGGTAGTGGTCAAATAGTATTTACAGTAAAATTCAATTGCTTTTAACTTATGATCAAATGATTTTTACGAACGCGAGTCGACGGTCAAATCATTTTTGCGTTCAGTCAATTCATTTTTACATCAGTGAGTGTTGTATGCAATCAATGCGACGTTTCATTCAATTGTTGTCGCATTGCTTCCAATAGTCACTCATCAGTTGAATGAAACTCACTGATGTAAAAATGAATTGACTGAACGCAAAAATGAATTGACCGTCGACTCGCGTTCGTAAAAATCATTTGATCATAAGTTAAAAGCAATTGAATTTTACTGTATGACCAATGGTGCTCTTTTCATAAGGTTTGGATAGTACAGCTTGTTCACCAATTATAGCATGTGCCACATTATTATCCATAGTATCAACCTTACATCCACCGGCCAGGTATGAGACAAAGTTTGAGCACTGAGTGGCCACACCTTTCGGGTTGTTTGGATTAATACTGGCAACAAATAAGTCAACTGAGCGGAAGTGATTGCAGGCAACAGCAGTGAATAGACCTAGATTTGCAATTAGTATATTTAATTATACAATATTTTTAAATAATATAAACTATAATTATACCGTTATCAACGACCTCGGTGACTCGATTTATAAAACAACCAGGTTGATGTAAATTACCACCATTTGGGTAAAAGTCAATGTGTCCCGAGTTTTCATTTATACCCAACCCTATCAATGGGACCGCATCCGTGTGTATCGCGTCCACGAATTGAGCCTGACACAATTTTAATTAAGTTAATTGCGAGAATTAAACTAAAATTTTTAGCTTGTTCATACATCTGATGGACTGAGTTTATCGCTTGTAGGTTTGCCATTAAAGCCAGGTCCTATATGTTTAAATATAATATTCATGATTTATTTTAAATAAATAATTTAATATTGTTAATACAAACCAGCTGGGTCGAGACCAGATATGCGACCAATTCGTCCATTGAAAGCTTTACCCGTCAAACCAGCGATATGTGCGCCCAATGAATGTCCAACAATATGTACCTTGTCCAAATCTAAACCGGAGTTACTCTGATAAAAAACAGAAATAATTATTATAAAATATTTTATCTACTTAATTAGTTTAACAAAAATATAATACAATACTTGTAACTCAGTAATTAACTTGGTAATGGCCTGCGCAACGGTAGGTATATTTGCCTTTGTCTAAAAAGCAGATTTTATCAAGATAAGTTTAATATTGTAATCATAGTAAATTTATATTTAATATTCACTATAATAAACTTATTTAAATCAAACCTGTTCGTAAGACAATGCATGATTGCCTGCACTTCAGTCAACAATAAACACATTATAGTCGCCGGCATTTAACCACTCATTCTTCATGCTGTCCGACGACAGGCTATTAGCCGGCGCCACACCATAGCCGTGGACATACAACTTAGTGATCAGGGTATTATTGAAATTGGTCAATTCATCGATGCCGTCCCTGGGCTGGACGCTAGTTTGCTCAGCCGCTGGGTTACGCCGTGTGTACAGATTGAACTTGGTGTTAAAATGTTGGGCTCGAGGCGACCAGAATAAAAAGGCCTCGGTGCCCAATATACCAAATACTGTTACTATAATTATTTTTATCAACATAATAGTATTTTTATTTATCTTTCTTACAATACTTATTTTAACAATTTAATGGTTAATATTTTTGCAAAATGTTTTGGTTTATATATGTTTTGCATGAGTTTTATCGGAATAGTTTATTTCAACATGGTAATATATTTTTTAACCTTGTACATTCCGGTACACTTGCTTTTTTAATTATTAATTTTAATGTTTCCAAGAATTTAAAACTAATTAATATTATTTTATAAAACAAGATTACACTAAACTAATGACAATGTTAAATTAATTGATGTAATTAGAATAACAATGCAATGTATGCCAAATAAAGTGCATTATATCGGAATGTTTTAAACAATACGACATAAAAAATTAATTAAATAATTTTCATTTTTATTATTTAATTTTTAGTTAACATATTTCTTTGAGTGCAATCTTGTTTTATAATTAATGTTTTTTAATATTAAATGATGATAATTAATTTATAAATTTTTGACAACATCAAAATTAATCATTTAAAGAGCATGTGTACCGGAATGTTCATGGTTAAAAAAAATCTATTACCATGTTGAAATAAATTGTTCCGATAAAACCCATGCGAAACATATATAAACCAAAACATTTTGCAAAAATATTTACTATTAAATAGTTAAAATAACTATTGTAAAAAGCTAAATAAAAATACTACCATGTTGTTAAAGATAGTTATAGTAGCTTAACTAAGTTGGCATATTGAGCACCAAAACATTTTTATTCTGGTCGTTTCGAGCTCAACAATTTAAGTCAGATTGGACAAATAATTTATTATTATTTATATCTTCAAATTTTTAATAAAGATCGAGGTTGAATTTGCAGATGCATGTAAAATACCACGTGTCTAACAAAATTAATAATATTTTACAAATACAAGTACGTTTATTATTACAAAATTGCTTTAGTTTACAAATTATGAATAACTAAATATTTATTAAATGAAAACATACCTGATGACATAGATCGCCATAACCTGGGCTCCAGTCCACAAACTACATTGTAATGGTCACAAAAAAATGCGCGATGAATTTTTAAGACACAACATTATAATTAAAGTGTTTCAAAAATTCATCACGCATTTTGTGGGACCTATTGCAGTCAAAGTGATTTCTTTTGAAAGCTATTCGTTATAATTGTGGTGTGAAGTGAGTCATCGAAATTATAATTGCCAACATGAGCATTGTTGTAAGTGATGATATTAATATCACAATTTATTTACAACGTTTATAATATAAGTTTAAGCTTCAAGGGTTAATACCCAATTCAATCTATACACCCGGCGTAAGCTTTAAACTAATATATTATTTATAATTAAGAGTAAATATTTGAGCTCTAATTAAAAGTTGTAATAATTTTCTAGCAAAAAATATCTTTTTTAACAATTAAACAAATGTTGTGAAATAAATAAATTAAATTGATTGAAACTTTATAAATAATTTTTATTTTAATTCTTATGTTGAAAATGTTAAACACAATAATTTAATTATAATTAATCATATAAGTTTTAACAGAAATTATAAATTGTTACATTTAACAATATTTTAATATTAAAATTTGTATATTAAAACAGCTATAATTATTACATAATTATAAAAGTTCTATCTACTCGTATAATAAATTTATTTAATTTTAAAATGCTCTCTATCTCTCTCACTCTCTCTCTCTCTCTCTCTCTC